TCCCCCGTGGTCTTTCCTGGACTACTCAAGAAAGATCGTGTCATATTGTGAAGGGTATTAAATGTTGTTAGTAGGGTAAGTTGTGTGCCACTTAGTCAGCTCATTACTATCACAGTCGACAGACACCTAAACTCATGTGAGAAATGGTCTAAATCCATATTGTCTGACTCTGAACACCCCCTCCACTCACAAATCTCCCCATGCATCTCATCTGGTAGGACTTGAAGTCATTATAAAAGATTATATGCTTATACAAACAAGTATAAAACTCAACGATACCCAATTTGACCCGCGTTCTCTGTGAGAAAGATAGTGTTAAGCATGAAACTTACGACTTACTGTGTAATTAGCATAAGAAAGTGCTCAGTTATTCTCCCATATTTGTAATTCTATGGTGACTCTCACTATCCCCATTATCTTATAATTTTGTGTTATTAATATTAATACTATTGTTATTCTTATCATTTTGCATTTGTACATTCTGACCCTACTGTTTCTGCTAATGCCAGAAGTTGCTGTTATCAGTTTTGGTTAAGTACACCCTGTAATGTATTTCTTCTTCTCTTGTTGTTGTTCAGTAAATTAGACGCAATATTGTACAAAATGCTGAAAATCCCACACTGTATCACAAGTAATGTTTCGGAATAAAGCAAATGATTACTATTGTTATTATTATTCCCTTCATTATATTTACTGATTCTTGAAATAAGAAGACATTTGACAAAGACGGTATGTTGATGTTGTATCCTTCGTTGTCTTGTAATTGGATGTTTAGGGATTTCTCCCAAATAGCGTTATGATACATACCACAGAGTGATATTGAGCACTTGGAAACCGCTCACATCAAGCAGTAGATATAAATCGACAGCAAACGATAGAGTGCTGTACATGCGCTTCTGCAATTCAAAGATTTCTCACACGGATAAACTTTGGATTTCTCTGAGTCACCAAATCTTCGTTGACACAATCAGCAAACGCCTGAATCAAATGTAGTGAGAATAATAGCCAAATTTTATATTCTCTAGGAATTTGCATTCTGCAATTGATTACTCTCTTTTAATGAAATTGTGTGTAGAGAACTACATTTTCAGAAAATTGTTTAGATGTTGAATTTTGTTAAAACTCTGGACTTCATTCATATAAGGTTGTTCGATTGGTATTAGTAAACTGGAAGTGAATTCGACCGAGTTGTCTGAATTTACGACAACAGATTATGGACAAAATGATAGAAATATAGAGGTAGGAAGTGGATTGATAGTCTGTATGATTCGTATGTACACTGTACTACGAATATGATTTGTTGTTAAGGCGATGTGGAATCGATTTCGATTGGCTAACCGAAGTCATTGTAATGAGTGGCGATTAAGTGATGAAATGTAAAGCTGTATTGTAGTAGCATTCGAAAGAGTGACCTCTAGATTACTCATCACCTGCATTTCTACCAGTTGATATTTGAGGCTCATCTGGTAATCAGGTCACACTAAACTACAAAAGTTAACCTGTGGGGAAATCTTTTGATTTTTGTTTTTATTCGTTTCTACAAGCCATTTATGCAAAAGACTGCAATTCATTTATGGTAACTTCTACGTATCAGAATGCACTAATTGCATCCCATAGGCACAGGCATATTTCACTAACCTTAATCATGCACTAATAATGCAGACCATACAAGCTTTCCCAAATCTTTCTTCTTTCCGTCAATAATCTTTGGAATTAATTTAAACACAACGGTCAAGGCCATCTGTAATACTTGATTGCCAGGTGATTGAATTCATTTGGAGATAGAACAAGGTTTTCTGACCTGAAATGTGCCTACAATACGTTTTGAGGCCTCAGTATATAACAATGTTGAAGTGTGTTTAAAGTACATCTCAGGACACTAGTATAAAAGGATGGTGTTCTGCGTTTATAGAATTCCTTTCCTGTGAAATCATCACACTACTCTTCTACTTCTAAAATGGCTGCATTCAATGGGACATGGAAATTTGTTGAAAGTTCTAATTTACGGGAATTGTTTAACGAAATAGGTAACTACATCTTATTGTTACTTCATTTATCACTGAAAACAAGGAGCATTCAAAGAATTAGCTGATGCTGCTGACCAATTCAAACCAACTGTCATTCTAACTGTGAATGATACTGAACTACGTATGAAGATTACAATGTTCGATCGTGAAGTTGAACGAGTTTATGAACTGGGCAAAGAAGTTGACGAAGTATCACTGGACGGACGAAATGTTCGAGTGAGTAGAAGAAACAATGTTAAGGCTTTTGGATTTATTGACTCATTGTTATTTAATCGCATATATGAATTAATCACTGTGATCTACTCTGATTCGATCGAACTTATAAGTTGCATTTCGTGACTGGATATTTAGACGGGAATTGACAATGACCGGTCGAATTATTTTCGAATAATTATGAATATATTCTTCCAGTAACCGATTGCCCGAAGTTTGCTTAGTGACCGATTTCAATTAAATTAGATTTCAATTCCCGCCGACTACATGGACTACATACACTCTATGTGGTAGTGGTTTCGATTGAGCTATGTGTGGAGACGTGGCTTGTTCATTTCTGACATAAATATATGGATAAACCCGGTTACTTCTGGCAAATAGACGGACAGATGTTGGCAGGTTTGATCCTCACACAATTCGTAAGATGCCTGCAACTGGAGAAGGCAGATTGAGAGAGCGAGGTAATAACTGTGGCGCAACTAAATGTGTACGGTGAGTTTTAGGTAACTCGGAAAATTAGGATATATTTCGTTCTCATTCAATCTACCACTCGAGAATTTACCAGTATCGAAGTGGTTTACGTCACAGGCGAGTATCAGTCGAGCTTTTCCATTGTACTCACTGCTTGTATTACAACCCTGACGAATGTTAGTTAGTGTTGAATAGCTTAACGATGAGTGACTGAAAAAATCATAAGGGAAGGTGGAGACTTGTGAATATTATCGTGAAGACAACTCGCACAGACTAAAGTCGTTCGAACGATATTGAACGAAAGCTAGAAATCAATGACTAACACTGCAGACCTGTTTCTGGTGAAGTTAGCGACTTAACGGTGAGTTTGATTGTGCAAGTGTGTGAAAGATATATAGGTGGCACTGTTGAAGTTTCAATGACCTTTTGAATAAGGCAAACTAGTTGACTCCTCTAAATTACACCTGTCAAACACATCATGATTCTGATGCATTTGCATCTTCGTACAAATGCATTTCTGTGTTTTATTACTGTTCTTCTTTGTAACAAGTTGACTTGTTAGACGTTGTAGTTGAATTCACCAATGAAGACATTCGGGTTTTGTGATTACGGCTTTCTCCGCTTTATCATTATGGTGCTAATTTAATTTTTGATACTGTAAGAAATCTACATTTGCAGCATGTTATACTTATCCTTGTATGTGACCGAATCTTGATCACATTCCTCCCATCCAACAGACTCTACTGACGGCTGAATCAGAGAAACTCACATACAAACAAACCGATGGTGGTAATCTAGAAATTTGCGCTACATGTGAAGTCCATGGAGATATAATGACCACAGTGAGTCTCCTCAGTCTCTTTTCTTCTGTTTTAATGTGTAAATTAAATTAGCGAATATTAATCTGTCGAGAGTACTTTATGTATACCCAAATACTTGTATGTCTTCTTCACGTCTCAGATGATTGATTGAGATGTGGATGTTGCTCAACACGAGGTTCAAACAAGCGATATATATACATGTTTGAGGCGTTGTTCATGAGATTCAATAATGAAATCAAATCTATATGAGCCAAACGTATGAGCCAATCAGTGTGGCGTGTATTATTCACTATCCCTACTGATAATACCTACTGAGACACTAATACATGTGCGATGACTGGTCACTGAGTGGGAATAATGTCAGTGATGCATGAATGACGTTAACGAATGTGTCACACCGACTACTGCTTACAGGGTGGACGTGTATATTTTTAATCGAATTGGAATGTTGGCTGACATTTTAAGTCCACTCCACTATATGCTCTTCTGAAAGTCTTCCATCAAACAATATTGAAAAGTTCCATTGTTTGATTGTTTAGAATATGTAGAGAATATAACACACATCTGGGATTTCATTTCTCAGTGAAATGAACACAGGTAGGAGGTGTATAACATATGTGTAAATCTTGGGCACTGTGTTAGTATATAGTAATTCCATATTAGTTTGTTTATTAGATATATCACACAGTGAAACAGTATGATTTACTGGATGACATTTCGAACACAATTTATTCTTCCTAATCATATCAGTTATAATCACACGATTTCGAACCTTGACTTTTATGGTTTTCTTTGTTCTCTCCTATTTGTCGTCGTTGAGGTAGTAGAGTTTTCCAGATGTCAGGGTGGACAGGTGTTGAATGATTCGTATTACACGTGTTTGCAGTTGATTCGATAAACAAAGCTTCTGTTATCAATCTCTGTCTCTATCTTGTTACATTCGATTTTAAAAGTGTCATCCGGAAAATAATACTGTTTCACTGTGTGATATATCTAATAAACAAACTAACAGGAGGTGTATAATTCACAGATATACGAGGGCTGCTACTTGCTTTAGATAACTGAAGTGTGAAAGACAAAATACTTGAGCTCTATGTTTGACAGACACTGGTGTTATCGGATGACGGCCATGTTATTTCGGTGAATCGACTCTTCTCGTTAAGTGTAAACAACCAGTTTTGAGGACATCGTCTCAGTGTCATCGCATGTGCACCATGGTAGGTGTGTGTTGTGCATGCTTACTGTTGAACATCTCTGTGTCATTTTGACGTAGGTAGGTATGTGGCGTCCTCTCGTCTTCCCTCTTTCCTTGTTTGCCTCGTCAGTATTTGGTTGCAGTGAGAGAAAGTCTCTGAATGGATCAGCTTGTGGTAAACCGTCCATTCACCTGAACGATGATTTTTTGATCTCCTGTTTTGATAGTTTTCCTCCTAATTGGTCTTTCGACTGTTTTCTCTTGTACTTACAGATAGTTAGTGTTGGAAATGTAACTGCAAATCTCAAGTACGAACGTGTTTGCTGCGGAGTATGAATGAAATGAAAATACATTGTTCAAACGACATTACCAATCAACGTACATGTCATCCTCCAGGCTTCTTCATGTTGTTTGTCACTTGTAACGTGCAATTTCTGGTTTTAGTAATATTGATATAAATATTTTCACTTATTGTGTGTCTCCTGTAACTTTGCGTTAAATATAAATTTAACATTTTGTTTGAGTTTCTTCTGACGGAAATCATTGTATAGAGAGATTTGACTGTGACAGATATTCTACTGCGTTTCTTCCAGGGCGCTACAAACTTAGAAGCGGTCATCGTCCCAATATTTGAAAAGGGCGGAAGTAATATACGCGGTAGCTATGATGTTATTAGTCTGCTACCAGTCACGTTTAAAATAAATACTGTTTTATTGCTTCGCAGTCTGTCCAAATACTTGAGGAATTAATTCTAGAGGTTTAGGTTCTATTTCATTCAGGCCGTGAATGTAATGAACATGTAATTATCCTTCTTCATTTGCTAGAACACCGCCGTGCGTCTTGCACGCCAAGAATCTTTGCGCTACTCTGGTGATTTATCCTTTTCACAAGTTGCAGCTATTTATGGAAATCTTGCCTGTAATTTTTGATTTAAATTATTATTTATCCTATTTTTAAATAAAAAACACTTGAAAAAGACAGGATGTTGATTTTGTATCCTTTGTTGTCTTGTAATTCGATATTTATGAACTTTCCCCAGACTGCATACATATCGATATCAGTTTTCCTAGCCATCTAGACGGGATTTATTTAATTTGTCACTGGGATTTTACTCATTTCTGTTCGGACCAGTCAGTATTGATTTTTCAGCGACTCATTTCATGAGACCGAATAGGTACACTGGAGATGAATTCTGGATAACTGCCTAAGTGACCTAGTAATACATGAAATCGAATTCAGTATTTGAAAATCTCACAATTATTTGAGGGGTTTGCGTAGCCACTAAGAAACTGGAGTTATGAAGTAGTGCAATGTCGAATTGGTGGTCTCTCTCCTCAGAAAGCATCAATTCGACTTGTGGAAACACGATGCGTCATCTTGAAATATATTTATTTGTAAATTTCTACTGTCATGCCGTGGAACCTTAGTTCTTCACCAGTAAGTCACACTGTTGTTCTTCGGGTTTTACTACAACACAAAGTTTAGGTGCTATAGTAATCTATGAAATTTCGTTTAATACGTCAACAAATATATAGAGATGTGAATCTATTTCTGTGCAGCGAACGTACTCTTTGTGTAATATGAACTGACTGCAATTTCATTTCCATTACCAGCGGTATGCACTGTCAGGATCTCTTAACTAGCCTGTAATTACTGGTAGTGAAACAGGAAATCAAAAGACCACACTGTTTGGGAGTGTGCTGACATTAGCGATATATTTGAGATACAAAAGTTTTAGGGGAAAGTCCGTCGACTTATCTGTCTGGTAACGAGTGCTATCGGAACTGTGATCGGTAAGAACCTCCAACACACAGAAACCAACTGGTAGTTTATTTAGCTGATACTTAATCACTTCAATAATGATCTGTTTATTTGAGCTCTAGTTAAAAGTTACTGCCGGAAACATGTACTACATTATCACTGTAGCTTAAACATCATCTCATCAAAAAACGTGGGTGACTAATTAGCCAAACACGAGTGGGATTACTAGAGATAATTCTGTTGCAGCCTACAAAGCAATAAAAGAGATTTATTTTCGCATAATTATTAAAAATACCTCCTTAATCTGCAAACAGTTTTATGCACAGGAAGCGGAAAATATAAAACCATTGAAGACCTTCATATTTTAATGATCACGTTTTGTGATACTGCTAAGCACATAACTGCTTGTATTTCAAATTACACTGTAAAATTATTTGAACGCTGATGGTCTGATAGTTTAATGCAGGTATTTAATAGTTTAAACTCCCAGTGTATTTTCTGAGTGTCTGTTAACTTGTGTGATAATATAGTATGGATCTAGTTAATTTTTCCATGCCTAAATTATTCAGAAATTTATGTGTAGGCTTTGTGAAAATTTTGATAGACTCCTGCTTAACTCCAGTATACTTCGTAGTTCCTTAAACAGCACCTTAGTTTCTGGAGTCCAAAAAAATACTAAATCATTTCTAATTGAAAAGTAAATATTTCTTTGCTCAATCCTTCTGCTTTCTCAAAGTCTAAATGGGGATTTTTTCTATATTTAATCGTTTGTCTTCGTAAAACATAGAAAATAGGTGCTCTGGCTGAGATTTATAAGTGACAACGGAACACTGTAGTACATGAATGCATAGCGTGTAACTCCATCGGTAATAAGAATCTGCTACGATGGACAAACACATCTACATCTGTTGACGTTTTATACAAGACATGTTTTGACGTCTTCCACAAATCCTTAAATGGCTTGTAATATCATTACACTATCATAATGCAGATACATTCTAAAAATCACTTCTCTGTAGTTAAGTGTGTTGCAAGTAATACTTATTGGTCATAAGCAATCATGGTGATGTACCACGTTGAAATCCCATATACTGACAGTAATCATTAATATCTTCATAATTTGCATATTGCACTCCTCGCTTTTTATTTGGTCTCAGTTGGAGTGCACTTAGGGTTAAAATAGTAGCCTGACTGTTGTATCACTCGAGGTATTTCATAAAATCACAATCTAGATTCGGAAGCTATTATGTTCACTCACCAATAGTATGACCGGTACTGCTGATTTATGTAGGAGGGATGCTGAAGGAGTGTTTCAATGGCTTATAGGTGAGACTGTGACGTCCAGCACTTACTTAACTAAGGAAGCGTTTGGAGAGGGGTTTCTACAGTGAACTGTCTCAACATTAAACTTCTATCCTAGTCTTTTAGTTTATAGTTCGTAGTTTCGAAACTTATTTCCAGTCACATGAACACTTCTTGTTGTTGCTTCAGTTTGAGAAATGTATTTGTTGGTTTTGTTTGCTTAAACTGGGATATATTTTTTATTATTCAGAAATCTAATATTCTGGTGCCTTTGATAAATTTCTAGTGTGTTTGTGCATTCCTTTGTAAATCAAATACCACCTGTCTATGGAAACGAAATTTCAGCTTCTGCAAAGGTTTATTCATCCTACTAATCAGAGTTATACAGGCTCTCATTATTGAAACATTAAAATGCGTATTTATAAGAATTGCGTCCTGTCACTTGAAGTTACACTGAATACTTTGTGATCGATAACAGATCTGAATATCAGTGACTAATCTCCTAGATCCAATATGCGTCTGAATCTGTCTGTCATACCAGCTGTCATTATTAACTGATTTTAATGTTGGCAGGAATAGAAAACAATCAGTAAGAAATGTGTTTGAATTCATACTGTTGTTCCCTACCTCATGATGATTATCCCAGAACCTGAAGCTTTAATTTGAAATTACTCAAATGGTGGATTACCTAACTCCTATTTGCCGAGACTGAAACTGCTTTATCTGAGGACGAATGACAATAAAGAACCGGTTACCTGTTTCTACATAAAAGGTCTGCATACTGATATGTCAGTGGGTGTGGTCCTGGAAATTGCTGGAGGTCAGCTTATCCCCAAACATATGTTCATTCATAAAACTGACTTACTGGTTGAATAGCCAGTACCACACGTATATTTGTTTTTGACGTCGACTGTCTTAAAATTCATATCAGCACACATATAAAGAAAATGAAGGTATATGTATATGTTGCTGATGAAAATCTTCGAAAGTTGGTTTGTTAGGTATTCTGATATTCCAGTGATGGTTTTTCGACATTAGTTTTCAGGACACATCGTGGATCTGTGATGCTCATCTGAAGCTAGTACAGTATTCTTTTTCTTTCTCTCTGCGTTCCGAGCAGAATATAGGACTTCAAGATTTGAGCTTTGAAGTTCCAGTGGCGTGTTTTTCCTACGGAATGGGATTGCTGGCCTGAAGCCTAACCTTTTCTCTTTTCTCGTCTAATTACAGGCTGGGGGGTTTAATAGTGCGTCAACCGGGAATCAAACACATCTCCCATGTGGCTGGTGAACAGCTTAAAATGCAGTCACTGGCACACCCTAGTGTTCTAGAACATCCCTATATTTTCATTTGCTACTAACATTTGGCTGGCTAAGGTAATTTATTTAATCCAATTTTTCTTTACCTTTACTCTTGGCTAAGCAGATTTTGTTTTATTTGTAAAGAAAATGAGAAAGAATTCCGAATTATACAAGGAATTCTTAAGTAGTGATACACATTAGGCAGACAATTCTCCATCTGAATATAAAGCCTGCTTGAGGTAAATTATAGACTGTAATAGCAATTAGAACTTTCTTCGTTACAAGTAAACCACATGAAGAACATGGTGTTTGTCCATTCCTCGTGTTCTACAGTGGGCACAATGCAGTGAAGCTACTGAATTACATTAAAGCACTTTTGATGGATGACGTCAAAAGTTTCTAGACTACTGGTGGCTTCATTCAGTGTCAGCCGTGAACATTAACACTATTGCGATCACTCTTCAGATTTCTACATGTGACTAAATTAAGGGGCATTAGTGTTTGCCTTTTATGCTTTACCTTTTTTGGATATCACGTATTCAATTATTTTCTTAAGTTATAATAATAACATATTTATACCTGGCAGTATTTAAAAAATGTACAGAATTTTCAGAGGAGTTTTTCGCATGATATTTTCCCTTCGTACAATATCTTCAAGTAAAATATTAACTGACAGTAAACCCTGTGACACAGTCGTCTCCTTGCTGAAGCCCAAACCATTCTATTGCCCAATATCTGTTTTGTCTCCTAGAAATTCACGAAATACTTTGTGACCTAAAGACTTAACTGAAGAACAGTTATATCAGGTCTTTCCTCAAGTTTATTAGGAACTTGCGAACTAGAAGCTTGTAGACATGGCACCAGTCAATGAAATCTACAACAGTTAGTCTAAGCCACGTAGGAAGGTGTAGACTTCCTGACCGGTTGGGGTCCTCGGGACGGTAAAAACCAATGGTTGGAAACAATTGGTGACATGGCATCCACTCCTTGTGACTCATGATTTTCAATTAAACTGTTTTGTTCTTCGTTATTACTATATCTTTGTCTCACACCTCTGTTTACTGTCTCTATTATGCATTTCTCCTACTTTCTTCTGTTGCTTTGTGTGCTACAAGGAAGGAGTGTGGCGACTTGAACTGACGCACATATGTGCA